TTCCTGGACTTAGGAAATTTATGATTTTCATAGGAAAAGAAAATTGTGAAGTCTATGCAATCTTAAAGATCCTTTGTGTGTGGGAGGATTCATGAGTGTACACATAGGTGTGTGCAGATAGATGCATGTGGAGGTTAGAGGCTGATAACAGGTGTCTTTCAACTTGATTTTTGAAACAGAGTCACTGAATCTGGATACTTACTGAATTATTACTCAGGTCTGAATAAAACTTAAATCTTAGGCTAGTTCATCTTCTCTGAGCTGTTTCTAGGATGGACCTACCTAGAGTGTAAGCAGTCTTGGTGTTCACGTTTAGAGAGCTTAGAGACCCTTGGTTGCTGTAGTTTTTGAGATAAGGTCTCACTATCTGGTCTAGATTGCCCAGATAGGCTTTAGCTGGTCGTCTTGCTGACTTGGCACCATGAGTGCCAGGATGAAGGTGTGTGCCTGCACAGCTAGCGGTGAGAGACTGACTCTGCATCATGAGTGCCAGGATGAAGGTGTGTGCCTGCACAGATAGCAGTGAAAGACTCCCTCTCTTTTTTGGGTTTTCTAGACAGGGTTTCTCCGTGGGTAGTCCTGGCTGTCCTGGAACTCCCTCTGTAAACCAGGCTGGTCTAGAACTCACAGAGTTCACCTGGCTCTGCCTCCTGAGTGCCAGGATTAAAGGTGTGCGCCACCACCGCCTGGCCAGTGAAAGACTCTTAATCTTGGAGGTAGTGTAAAATGTTACAGTGGAGATACAGCTTTTTAATATAGGGGAAATTTTGGCAAGCCAAATCTTTGAGCCAGTAGTCTCTAATTTAGTTGTGTCTTATGAGTTCATATCGTCAGTATATTCTAGTTTCATTTCTGCTGTTATGATAAAATAACCTGACACACACACACAAAAACCCAAAAACTTAAAGAGTTTATTTCAGCTTATAATTCCAGATTACAGCCCATCATAATAGGGAAGCCAAGGCTGCAGAAATTAAAGTACCTGGTCATGTTCAAATCAAGCATGGAGCAAAATGAACTGTGTGCGTGGTTGCCAGGGTTCTGCTGGCCCTTCCCTTTTCCTTTAGTTCAGGGCCCAGCCCATGAAATGGTGCCACTGACATTCAAGGTGGGTCTTCCCACATCTATTAGCCTAATTAAGAAAATTCCTCATAGGTATGATGAGCTCGGGCCAACAATATAAACTGTTTCTCATTGAGACTATCTTCCCATGTGATTCTAGATTTGATAAGTTGATTAAAACTAGCCATCGCAAAGTGTTTCTAATTGTGATTTTAGAAAATTAGATATTTTTCCTTTCTGATACTATTTTTATTTTGGGAGGGGGGTTGTTTTGTGTTTTCAGACAGGGTTTCTTCATATAACAGCACTGGCTGTCCTGAAACTCACTCTGTAGACCAAGTTGGCCTCAAACTCAGAGATCTGCCTGCCTCTGCCTCCCAAGTGCTGGGATTAAAGGTGTGCGCTGCCACAGCTGGCCCTGATACTATTTTTAAAAGTAATCCATTTTCATATTTTCTTTTACATATAACACCTAGTCTATTCTAATCCTAAAATGTCAAATAGATCATGCACTCGTGTGTCTGTGTATTTGCATGTGTGTGCATGTGCATGATTGTGAGCATGTGTGTGTTTTGAGACAGGGATTCACTGTCTCAAAGCTGGCCTCAAGCTTTTGGTCCTTTTCCTTGAGTTGCCTGTGCCCTGCGATTCCAGCCATGTTTCACTATGCCTGGCTTCCACTCGTATATTCTGTCTCTTGGGCTACCGTTGGGATAGTTAGTTCCTTGAAAACAGCTACAAGACAGTAAAGAGGCTTCATTTATTTTGCTGTTACAGAAGCAGAAGGAAAATGTTGTCCTGGGAGAATGTGAGATTCTCCTAGAACTCTAAATGTCTACTTTTGATGTTAAGTTTGGTCAAATGCATGTCAGCTATTCTAACCAGTACCGTGGTTTTTACACATCTGGAAAGCAGTCATCGTACTGTTGTCATTTCTCTGTGGGTTTGTTGTTAAGATCTATTTATTTATTATGTACACAGAAGAGGGCGCCAGATCTCACTACAGATGGCTGTGAGCCACCATGTGGGTGCTGAGAATTGAACTCAGGACCTCTGGGAGAGCAGTGGGTGCTCTTAACCTTTGAGCCATCTCTCCAGCCCTCTCTGTGTTTTATTACTATATTTAGTCTATTTTATAATGCAGCCGTTAAAATTGAAAGTAAAATGTCAGAAACATTAGTCTGTTCAAGAATTAGGCCAATGAAGAAATGAACTGAAACACATTGTTGTCTAAAACTCATTTACAAATCACATCTGAAATTGTTTTGGAATGAAATTCCCTGTTGTTCTTCTGTTTTCATAAATAACATCAGTGAGAGTAGATGGCTGCGCAAACAAGTTGGTGGTGCTCTTCAGCCTTTAACTCTACCTCATTTTTCCTTTAAAGCCGTGTAAGCCCTTCCTATGGACCTCCCCAAACTCAAAGTAATAAAAGAGAGCTGGGATACAGCTCCGTGACGGGCCCTAGATTCAGTTCTCAGTGCCCAAAAGGTGGGGAGTGGAGAAAGAAAGAAAGGAAACTACAAAATACCCAACATCAGCAGCAGCAGTGGTATTTTGCAGTACTGGGGTTTGAACCCAGGGCTTTGTAAATTAATACATACTCTACCCCTGGATTACTCTGTGTGTCGGTTTAGTGTTACAATGCCGTATTGAAAAGTCTTGGAGGGCACTATCCATTTATGTTTAACCCACATAATAATAATCTCTATGTTCTGTTCACAAAATCATTTGCAGCAAATGTTTCTAGTTTTGCCAAAATCTGAGTTTTATAAACAAAATTAGTTTAAAAAAATAAAGGGCTTTACAGTCAGGTATCCTGATCTGTTTTATTTTGTTATTTATTTTTTTTAAGATCAAACAACTATTTTTTTTTTATTGAAAATGGTTTTTCACACAATATATTGATTAAAATTTCCCCTTCTCAAACTCCTCCCAGATCCTCACCATCAACCCACTATCATTAGGGGAAAAAAAAAATCTAGAAAAACATAATAATAAAATAAAAATAGTCTCAGCCCCACTCTTTAGTAGTTTTATAATCTTGGAAGTTTCTAAACTCACTTTACCTCAGTTTCCCTAGTTATAAAATGACAGTACTAATAGCTCATTTTATGAGCCATCAGGATTAAATGACTTAACTCATAGAAATTGTTTAGGAGAAACTGTCAACTAGTACCCGTAAATGTTAGCTGCTGCCAGCCATTTTATTCAGAAACAACACCATTGTATCATTTGCGGTAAATTTGTATTGCTTCTTAACACAGGCATTTTTTATTCCAGTGTGATATATGTGGCTAATTAGACTACACATTAAAAAGTTACTGCTGGGTAAAAGCCCTAAGAATGTTTTACTTTCAGATTCTGCACCGGCTAGTGTTTTGTGAACTTGAAACAAGCCAGAGTTGTTTGAGAAGAGAGAACCTCAGTTGAGAAAATCTCCCCACGAGATTGGGCTGTGGACAAGTCTGTGCACAGTGCACTTTCTTGATTAATGATTGAGGTGGGAAGGTCTAGCCCACTACAGGTGGTGCTACCCCTAGGCCTTGGTCCTTCATGGTATAGACCCCAGGATGAACAAGCCATGGGAAGCAAGCCAGTAAATAGTGTTCCTTCATAACCTCTGCTTCAGTTCCACTCGCCAGGTTCCTGCCTTGCTCCTGCCATGACTTCCCAAGATGGTAGACTACAAGCTGAAAGATGAGATAAACCCTTACCTCCCCAAGTTGCTTTTTGGTCATGGTGTTTTATCACAGCAGTAGAAACTCTAAAATAGAAATCATAACTTTTTTTGTTGTTTTGAGACAAGATGTCATATAGCCTAGGTTGGCATTGAATTCACTGTGGAATTGAGGATGACTTTGAACTCCTAATTCTTCTGCCTCCATCTCCATTGTGATGGGATCATAGACATACATTGCTTGATATTTTGAGACAGGTTGTCACTCTGTAGCTCAGGCTGGCTTGGAGCATATCATGAAGTCCAGACCTGGGTATGGTATCTCATGCCTATAATCCCAGTAATGGAGATTGAAAGCCGTTTTGACTCAGTCACAACATTAAAAAAATAACTACTATGCTGTTTGTCAGACTGTAATGAAAGAAGAATTTAACCTGGGAAACTAGGAAAGGCAATCGCATATTAAGCACAGTTGATAACTTTATCCATATTGTCTTGTCATACCTGGTGCCTGTCTAGGTGAATTTCTGGATTTTAGGAATTGCTAATTTAATCTTCTCTTTTAAAGACAGAACTGCGTCTAGGAGTGTATCAGATCTCTTAAAGCAGAGTAGTTTGACAACTGAGTCTAGACCCAGGCCCCCCAAATTATAATCCGATCTCCTCAGTTTCCACCACGTGAAAATTTGTGGTATAAAGAATCAGACACAGAAAATGGATGACTTAATTAGGATGAGTAGTAGCTCTTTAGAGTAGAGACGGGGCCAGGTAAGATAGGCACACCTGTAATCCTAGTGCTTGGGTCACAAGTTTTAGACTGGCCCGGCTTCATAGGGAGACAATCGTATATTAAAAAAAAAAAAATGAAGCTGGACCTTAAATCTAGAGTATCCTCCTCTATTTTAGTGTGATTTGACTCCCGGTTTTAGTGAAACTTGTTTTTGTGTACCTTAAGAGACTGTTAATTTTCTTTCAACCTATATATTTTCATGTATTTATTGCATGGGTGTGTGTGCGTGCGCATACGTGCATGCACGACAGGGGTGCATGTCATAGTGTGCATGTGGAAGATAGTGGAAAACTTTGTGGAGAACTGATTCTCTGGTTTTGCTGTGGGTTCCAGGGATTAAATTCAAGTCACCAGCCTTGCACTTTCCACTGAGCCATCTTGCCAGCTGCCTTTTCAGTTGATGGGGTAGATTATGAAGGATTGAAATTGAAAAGAGGTATCTATATTAAGAATTTCCTTTCCTTGCAGTTTTCAGATTTTGGAGCCTAAGGAACATTTTCCAGGGAAGACTGCCAGTGCAGACATTTTGGCAACCAAGATCTTGATACGTAGCCAAAGACTGGAATACTGGTGGGCCACAGTCCTCAGAAACCTTAAGACAGGTAGGTGAAACTGGGGAATGGAAATGTGGGTTATTAACTGCTGGAAAAGTCCGTCCTTCCTGTTTTCAATTCCATTTTATGTGTATGGGTATTTTGCCTGCATGTATGTCTGTGTACCATGTGTGTTCCTGTGCCTCTGAGGAGGCCAGAAGAGGGCAATGGATCTCCTGGAACTGGAGTTTCAGATTATTTTGAACTACCATGTGGGTGCTGGGAATCATACCTGGGTCTAGAAGAGCAGCCAGAGTTCTTAAAGACTGAGCTATCTCTCCAGCACTCTTCTTGTTTTTGGTTAGATTAACTAGTTAACTGTCTTTACATTTTTAACCTTTTTTGCTTGGTAAAAACAAAGCATCCCAAAGTGGGTAATATACTTTTTGTATTATAAAATTTATTATAATATTTATTGTATTATAAAGTATTTGTTAAGATATTAGTGGTAATGTGTTTATGAACTTGTATGACATTGATTTCATTATAAGTTATTGTAAATTTAGTAGCTTTTAAAGCATCCATCCATCCATCCATCCATCCATCCATCCATCCATCCATCCATTCATCCTTCTATCTATTTTGTTTTGAGATAGGGTTTTACCCTGTAGCCCTAGCTGGCCTACATCTCACTATGTAGTCCATGCTGGCCTTAAACTCACAGCGTTTCACTGCCTCTGCCTCTTGAGTGCTGGGCTAAGAGGTGTGCGTGCGTCACCACACCTGGCAGGCGTGTTTGTTTTGCTTACACATCTGCAATTTGATTAAGATTCTTGATGAGTTTGCTGGTCTTCGTGGCATGAGGTGGGATAGTTAGGAGTGTGACTCGGTGGCCAAGCACTGCAGTCCTTTGAATGCTTGCTCACTCCTGTGTCTGCTGGTGAATGCTGACTTGGCCGAGTCCTCAGCCTGGGCTGTTAGCCACCACACCTACACTATACTTCTCCTGTGACTGCTTGGCTTTCTCACAGCATGGTTACTAGATTCAAGAACATCCTGAGAGAGGAGGGGGCAGGCAGATGATTTACTTGAGTTAGCTTGGAAGTCTTGGAAGTCACATAGTATTACTTCATTCTGGGTTTTTTTTTGAGACAGGGTTTCTCTGTGTAACAGTTTTGCCTGTCCTGGAACTCGCTTTGCAGACCAGGCTGGCCTTGAACTTACTGAGATCCACCTGCCTCTGCCTCTTGAGAACTGGTATTAAAGGCGTGCGCCACCCCTGGCCGGCTACTTCATTATGTTTTTTGAGAGTTTATAAAAGTCTGTATAGGTGAGGATAATTGGGAAGTGGACATAAACCCCTCCCTTGGAGGCAGGACTATCAGCATCACATTGTAAGAGCATTTCATAGGGAATCAACTGTTCTTGCCATCTTTCAGGGATATGATTTGTCACAGTTTGTATTTTTAAAATTTATCTTAGTGTGTGTGTGAATGTGTGCGTGCGTGCGTGTGTGTGTGTTGGGGGGGAGTTGCACAAATTGACAGCACACTTCCACACATGTGGAAGTCAGGACAATTTTTAGGGGTCAGTTCTCTTCTACTATGGGTAACCTTGGGATTGAACTCAGGTTGTCAGATTTGACAATATGCACCTTTTCCCACTGAGCCATCTCACAGACCCAGATAAATACTTTAATGTGTGAGGCCATGTATTTGATCCCCAGTACTGAGCCTTGTAGCTATTCAGATATGGTGGCACACACTGTAGTCTCAGTACTTGGGAAGCAGAGGCAGGTAGATTGCTGCAAGTTTGAGTCCATTCTGTTTGCATAGTAAATTCTAAATCAGCCAAAGCTACACAGCAAGACTGTCTCACAATATGTGTGTGTATGCGCGTGTGCGCTTGTATATAGGCATGCTCTAAGTGTTTTACGTATTTATAATCCCAGCACCACAGAGGTGGAGACAGGAGGATTGAGGGTTTAAGGTCAGCCTGCCTGGCTGCAGTTTATGACCCCCATTTCAAAAAACCAAAGAAAGAATTGGGACTGGAGAGATGGCACAGTGGTTAAGAACACTTGCTGTTCTTGCAGAGGACCCAGGTTCAATTTCAACACCCACATAGTGACTTATAACCATTTGTAATTCCAGTTCCATAGGATCTGATGCCTTCTTCTGACCTTCTTTGGCACCAGACATACACATGGTGCAATACATACATGCATGCAGAATACTCATATACATAAAATAAAATAAATCTAAAAAAAATGTTTAAGCTGGACATGGTGGTGCACACCTCGGGAGGCAGAGGCAGGCCAATCTCTTGAGTTCTAGGCCACCATGGTCTACAGAGTGGGATCCAGGACAGCCAGGGATACATACAGAAACCTTGTCTTGAAAAAGCAACCAACCAACTAACCAACCAACCAACCAAACAAACAAACAAATTCTCCCTTCCCCCAAAATGGGAAAGCTTGGGGCCTCAGATCTAGACAAGGAGTCACAGGTAAGTGGGGACACTGAGACTGGGAATATAAATTGTCTTTCTCAGGAAGAGCCCTCAATTGATTATCCAATATCCAGGGTCCTGAGATCATAAAATGAATAGTATTCGTACTGAGCAGGTTGTACTTAGGAATACATACATGCACACATGCATGCATGCACAAACATGCCTTGGTAAAGGGGTGGAGGTCAGAGGACAATGTGCAGGAATCTTTTGCTTTCCATCATGTGGATCCTGGAGATTGGACTTAGATCCTGAGGCTTGGTGACAAGTGCCCTTTATTTACTGATCCATCACCAGCACACAGTGGTATTCCTCAGTACTATGTAATGCATCATTCAGGCCTAGTATATTTCTATGTGGTGGTTTAATTCTTCATATAGAG